AAATTTGAGACAGGGTTTCTCTATGCTCTATGTAGTCCAGACTGGCCTCGAACTCACAGTGACCCTCCTGCCTCAGCCTCCTGATTGCCCAGTTCTACCTTTGCTTATGACTTCATTTGTGACACGTAATAATTGCATTCACTATAGGGAATCGGTGCATATACATATCATATCTTGATCATTTTTACTTCCCCTTTTCCTCCTCACCCTCAAATGTTCCCCCTCCTTTCCCACACCCCTTTCATATCTCCACCAAAAAAATCTCTTTTTATCCTCTAGGTTTTATGCTGCTCTTTAATTATTTACACTTTAGGCTTCCTGTATGAGAGAAACCATGTGATATTTAAGTTTGTGTGTCTGATTTATTTTACTTAACATGACAGTCTCAAGGTGTGTCCATTTTCCTACAAATACCTCAAACGTGTCCTTCTTTTCTGCAGCATAGTACTCCACTGTGTGTAAATACTATTTTTATTTATCCATTCTTGTATTGATGGATATATAAGCTGATTCTATAATTGAGCTGAATTGATGTTTGCACCGGGTAACTAGCTAGGAATCTAGTTTCCATAAAACACCAGGCATCCTGGCAGTGAGTCAGAGGCCTCTAAAGGATCTTCCAGGGCATGGTGGTTCACACCTGTAACCCCAGCACTCAGGAGGCTCGGGCATGAGTGTCACCATGAGTTCGAGGCCAGCCTGGACTAAACAGTGAGTTCAAAGGCAGTCTGAACTACACAGTGAGACCCTGTCTCCAAAAATTAACTAACTAACTAAATAAATACATGATCTTTCAGCTCCAAAGTTCTGGGGTTCTTAGAAAACCAGTGAGAAGTCTAAAGCAGGCCAAACACAAGTCTCCTCATTTCGGTCCGGAGTTCCGTGTGAATGACACCGTCACGAGGCAGGGCACACACCTGCCAAAGGGGGAGGACGGATTTGCCAGTGACCAAGGGGCCCCTTAGGCCACCTCACAGCACCGTGCCGACCCTCAGCAAGAACCGCGGGGTGCTGGAGCCCGGGGAAGCCCCCCCACCCCACCCGGCTGCCGCCACCGCCACCGCCACCACGTGTGCCAGACTCGGGCGCAC